TGATGAGACAGAATCATCAATTGGCTGCCTCCTGCATGTCCCACACTGGGGATCCAGCCTGCAACCCGGGCATGTGCCCTGACCTAGAATCGGACCATGACCTCCTAGTTCATAGGTTGACGCTCAACCACTGAGCCACAAAGACTGGGCAAGACTCCCATGTTTAAAACCTCCAATTCCAACCACCAATGTCAGCACTCTAGTTTTTTTGTTTGTTTGTTTGTTATCCTCTTCTTTTAATAACAGTAAAATTGAACTAAGAGGTAAATTAATCAAACAAATATTGTTACACAGTCTAAAATAATGACACTACCAGACTTAACTGCTGAAGCAGCAGGGGGACTACTTTGTAAAGTGCATGGTTTCTAACCACTGTGCTTTACATCTGAAACTAATACAAAATAATATTGAACAATCTACTTGTCTATATATATAAAAACCTATGGAATGACCGAACAACCAAATGACCCAACGACCATTCGACCAGTCTCTATGATGTGCACTGAACCATCAGGAGGCAGACACTCAACGTGCCCCTGGTGGTCAGTGTGCTCCCACAGGCAACCTCCCACAGCTGACCAACCTCCCGCGGTTCCTCCCCGAGGCTGGCCAGCCCTGATCGGGCCCAATAGGGACTAGGCAAGATGGCTGATTGGTCCCAATCACTGGCCAGACCAAGGGACCCCACCCATGCATGAATTCTTGCACCGGGCCTCTAGTATTATATAATAGTTACAGTTCATCATGTCTCTTAAACTCATACTCAGGATACAAATCATTGTTTACTTCAGCCTTCACAGTTTTAAAAGCAGTCAATCTCTGAGTGTTAATCAGCTCCAAATGTTATTCTTACTAAACCTGATATTTCAAGCCTCAACTTAACATCCAGAAAATATAGTTTAGATTAGGTCAGTTCTAAATCACATATATGGATCCTATTTCTATGGTATTCCCGTAATACAAAATTTCAAAGGCTCCTATAAATTACCAAATTAAACAGTATCTCCTTGGTCTGACCTAACCAGGTCATCACAAACATCTGCTTATTATAAACTCCAGTCTTCTCAAAATAATGATCAGCAGCATCAGTTAAATACCCACCATGTGTTAGAAAATGGTCTGAATAGAAAGAAGCCAAAATGCACAGTAATCAAATATGATTAGAGTTAGGGGAGTGGGGATAGGAAATGGCAAATAAATTGAGAACAAATAAACTTGGTACTATGGTGTGGAGAAAATCAAATGGCTGGCTGAGACATTCGGCCCTTTTCCTCTTAGCAATGCAAAGTCATCAAAATATTTGAGTGATTGGCTCTCTTGATTACATACAAATTTTAGGAAGTACTGATGGCAGTGTGGTGGAAGACCAAGAGAAGAGAGAATGTAGAAATAATTAGGAGCTTAAGAAAAATCAAGGAGCAGATTTAGTGGTTCTAAAACTAAGGCAGTAAATATAAAAGCAAAGAGAAATTTGGGATTAGATGTAAATATCTGATTAATAGGATTTACATAGAGAAATTTGGGATTAAATGTAAATATGTGATCAATAAGATTTACATAGAGAAATTTGGGATTAAATGTAAATATGTGATCAATAGGATTTTGAAAAAGGTTGGTTAAGGGTTGGAGAGAGTAGAGTACAGCTAAAATATGAATTCTATAAAGAGCCCATTAGATTTCTAACACAGAATCCTATACCATCAACCAAGACAGGAAATGAGAGAAGGTGCAGGTTAGAGATAAAGACTGAGCTTATTCAAGTTCTGGTTATCTTCAGGTTACCAAATCAAAGATATATTAATGAAAATTGGAGATACTAAACCTTAGGAGAGTTCACGCAGATTAAGATCTCTTTGGCATAGAGATTAAAGGTTCTGGCTGTCCTCAGGAGGCAGATTTTTCTAATTGCTAGCATAGTGCCTAGAGCAGTGGTTCTCAGCCTTCCTAATGCCGCGACCCTTTAATACAGTTCCTCATGTTGTGGTGACCCCCAATTTCATGGTTACAGATTGAACATAATTAAAGCATAGTGATTAATCACAAAAACAATATGTAATTATATATGTGTTTTCGATGGTCTTAGGCGACCCCTGTGAAAAGGTCGTTCGACCCCCAAAGGGGTCGCGGCCCACAGGTTGAGAACCGCTGGCCTAGAGCATAGTTGATTTTCAATAAATGTTTGATGGATGGCTGGATAAACATTGAATATAAAATCCTGGCATGAACTTATCTTGGTTTTTAAAAGCTACAGTAAAGTTAATAGAAAGGGAGGGGCAACAATAATAACTTACCAAATAAGAAAGTCATTATACTTTACATTTAGGAGGTTAGTGAAAGTCCTGAGAAGGAAATGTGATGGAGTGAATGTCCTGGATGCAGGAAGAAGGGAAGATAGTGGGAATTGCCTTTGGAAAGAAGAACACTAGACACTTCAAGATAGGAGGGCATTTCCAAAGGTCGGGTTTCAAAAAGTGTGACTATGGGATCTAAATAGACTCTGAATTCTCTCTGGCCCTAGTGTTTCTCCCACTGTAGTTGATCTTCTCCATTCTCAGAAGACTCCTCTTTCTAAACATGGTTAACTAAGATAACTCACCAGCTTATATTTGGTAGCTTTATCTCTAAAGTCTAAATCCAAATGGATTATTTGGACTTTGTAAGAATTTGCACAGACTAGCCCCATCTCTGTCCAGTAGACAGAATATAAGAACATGAAATATGAATAATATGACCTTTTATATTAAACTGATAGAACTATATTTTAGTTAGTATATTACATGGGTTACATATTGTTTCCAAATTTTCCAAACATTTAAGATGTTGATCATACTCAAACCTTGTTATAAGTGACCCAAGACACACATTTAGACATTTTCATAGAAATAAATCTAAAGATTTAAAGAATGGAATGAGAAATAGACAAAATGTTCAGCAGAATTAATTTTAAAAAGACAAAGAATAAATATTTCCAGCTTTTTTGTCTTTTTGAAAGAACTAATAAAATTTGCAAAGTATTGACATAAAAAGTAAATGAAAATAACATAAAAATTAGAATGGTAGTCTGTCAATCTTATTCAGTAATAATTTTGCAAATTATGACTATAATTTATTAATATATACTAATAATATGAAAAACTAATAAAATAGACAATGCTTTAGAAAATGTCAGATTGAAAATTAATTCAATAAGTAAAATTCTAACAAAATTTAAGAAAATTGGATGAAATTTTTTTTTACATAGCAAATACCACCTCCATCTCTGGCCTTATTATTTTACTAGTGAGTTTTTTCAAGATTATAAATTATATTGATATATGTAATTATATATAACATAATTATATTATTATAATATATTATATATGTGATAAAATATAATATATAAATAATATGTTATATAAGAAAATATTATCTATAATAATAATAAAAGCATAATATGCTAATTAGACCAGATGTTCTTCTGAACATCATTCTGGATGACGCCAGGGCTGCGAGGGAAGCTGGGGTCCCGGGAGCCAGAGGAAAGCCAGTGCCAGCAGCCAGGGGAAGGAAGGCCTACTCTTGCATGAATTTCATGCATCAGGCCTCTAATTGTAAAAGTTCCAATAGAATATAACCTCCTTAATAATACTAAAATGATGGCAAGCAATGAAATAATACTGTAGACCATCCTAACTTTGGAGCATTCCTCCAAATTCCCAAATAAATCAAAAAGTATTGAATTATATATAGTATTGAATAAAAGAATAAGCTTGCAGCTATTCAAGAATCTATAATAATAAAAGCATAATATGCTAGTTAGACCTGGCAGCCAAATGACCTTCTGGACGTCCTTCTGGATGAACTTATGGATGAAACCGGGGCTGCGAGGGCCAAGGCAGCTGCCTTGGCTGTGAGGGCTGAGGCAAGCCACCACAGCTGCAAGGGCCGAGCCCCTTGCACGAATTTTGTGCATCGTGCCTCTAGTAACATAATATTAGCAAGTCAACTGCTCAGAGAAGTGGTGGGCAAAGATTCAAACTCAGGCTAGCTAGAGGGTCATTTGGAGGCAGATGGGGTGAACCTAAATCTTACATCATCATCACTCTCATTTTTTGAATTCCTACAGTAGGCTGTGTGTTCATATACTGAAAACATTTGCCAATTTATGCAAAGGTTAACTGGTTATGTTTGGTGATGAGAATATGGTTATTTTGTTTTTATATGTATCTAATCTGTCCATTGTGAACATCATATCATGTGAAATGAGAAAATATTACAAATATTACAAAAGCAATTTCAAAGCACCTTGTTTGGGTCAGGAGGTCAGATAAACTATCTGATTTTAGACATCTGCCTCACATCCAACACTGTTTAACGACTGAGAGCCCATCTGATTGTCACCACAATTGTCACAAACCTCAGCAGCAAGTTTCAAGGGGGACAGTTCTCAGTTACTTCAACTGGTTCTACAGGATGCATAATGACTTCATATCTCCCATCTCAAAACTTGAAAAATAAACTCTTAATGCAGATCATCCCAAAGTAAGTTATCTAGGTGTCATAATGTATGAGGTACAGAGTATAATGTTATTTTAAAGAATAGATAATTATGTATCTACTGAAGGTCATAAATAATATTTTTATAATTTTACTATGAAGAAATAACACAGTTATCCAGAAAGATAATTGAAATGTGTATTTCTATATACAGTCCTACCTACATATAGTTTACAAAATATGTTTGCTAGTAGCAGAGAAATTAAATCCAGCATTTTATTGTATTTTGAATTTTAGAAAAGATTGATACATAGTCCACAAATTTACATGCCATATATTTACATGCCAGCATGATAATTTAAAAATAAAAGGGAATTCTAGAGGTTTTGCTTTTTATAAAAAAAAAAAAACACAGTTAAAATATGAGTGAAGAACAATAATTCATGTTTCTCATTTCAATACTCAGGAACTCGTATTAATTAGTGATGAACAAATATGGTGATATAATAAGAAGTTCTACTTACCATTTGGATAAAATTCTTAGAATTTCACTTGGACAATTATCCCAGTAAAATTCTTGAATATCTGAAAAATGAGAGTGATTGAGGAAGATCAATAAGACATACTTTATACATCATTTTATAATACATTAATTCCATATGATCTTTGACTCATACCTGTTCTAGATTTATATAAGAATGCATTAAGACTCATGATTTTCATTTAATATGAATACTGTCTAAACTCAGGAAGTAGGTGTGTCCTTTTATTTATTCACACACCACCTGTAGTGCTAGAAACCCCAGCCTGCCTGTTCTCAACTCAACTCTGACCTGCAGGAACCACACTGCAGATAAGAGAAATAATTCTTCTGAACTCTGAATGCGTATGTCCCTTAAACAAAGTCAAGAGACTGAACCACTACGTTCTTATTTTTCAGGGCATAACTTCAGTGGGGGAAATTACATTATAGTGTTTCACTGTGATGGAAATTACATTATAGTGTTTCACACAGAGGAAATCTGTATCCTGAAAATTTAAGTACATATACTAGGTGAACTAATTTAGAATTTTAGTAATTATGTCACCTCTGCAAATGTATTTGTTTTAAGATAGTGATTACAAGATTATTCTGATGTGATACTCTAATTGCCAAGTAATTTATAAATCAGAAGAACACTCATCTATCCAAAAAAAAATGTTTTTAAAAGATGAGGAAAAGGAGACCGAATGTAGGAGAAATGGCTTGGCGGAGATCTTAGCTTAGAGAGAGCAAGGTCTTAGCTTAGAGAAAGCCCTATGACCAGATGCTAAGTCTCAAGACTTTAGCTTATCTCATTCCACCTGATTATTTTAAAACACATTTATTAAGGCTCTGATATATACCAGGCACTGAACTGGGTACTGCATAATGAACAAGATAATGGACAAGACAGATAAGAGGCCTGCCTTGGTGAAGCTTAATTCTGGTGATCTCCATTCATTAAAGTATTGAATACAGAACATTTCCATCCATATAAATGTAAAGAATGTAAATGTAACCTAGATACTAAGATTTTGGTATGTATTTCTACTAAGACCAAGTCTGGTTCCCAATGAATATACTGTCTTTAATCTTGGAAATATATCTGACCTGCAAAATACTTAGCTAAACATCTGAGTATTTTGACGTGTAGGTAGATATGTTGTACATCGATAAATCATTAAAAAATCGAAAAGAACACATTTTTTTCCATTGAGTGCTTTGAAAGAATCTTTTATTTGCTTACTTATCTAAATGTGTCAACTTCCAGACTCAGTGTGAAGCTTAAAAACAGGCTATAGAGATGAAAAGTTCCACATGTGCAACTGAGTAACTAGATATCACGTGGAAGAGTGAAATAATGACCTTGAGATCCATTCTGCACATCATTTCTTAACTATCATTTTATATTTAGCACTGAGGTAAGTGTTCTGCTTATAGTAGATAATTGCAAAATAGAATTATATAGCTACGTGTACAATAAAATACTGAATTTCTAGACTTCTAAAGCACCATTCTCATGCCTTTTTTTTTCATGCCTCCAACCAATAAAAGTAACTATTTTCCATGATTTTCATTACCTTAATAACTTTAGAAATATTATTTTAGAGTGATTTTCACATGAAGCAATCAGACTAATTTCTGCATTACAAAATAGCCATTAAAACATGGAAAGCAAAGAGCCCAAAATAATGTACTAAACATGAGCCCAAGTTCTGCCTAAAATTGCAGTTCTGTCTAATATTTAATCAACAGAGAGATATGCAGAATATTTACTAAGTATAAAGTGATTATTGGTTAGGTTCTCTTGAGAAAGACAATCCAAAGGCTATGGTCTCAAGTCACTTTGGAATGCTTCTGTTTTAGCAAGTAAGCCTTCAAATTCTCCATAAACTCTCTTAAAATAACATTTAATATACTGAAATAGCAAATTATCTTACCAAAAAATGAATCATTCTGTAGAATGAAACTATAGGAGGAAGTTTGAGGAAAACTATTCCCATTATTTTAAAGCCCAGAGCCTGGCCCATGGTCACATACTTGATTAGCCATAGAACTGAAGCTGGTTAATGCTCCTTACTTACTATTTCGTGTCTTTCACAACTTCATAGCCAAACAAAGATGAATTATTTTATTCTCATCCACTTAGGACATAAGGAGTGCTTTATGGCAGATATAATAAAAGTAAAATTCTAACATATATAATATCACAATATATATTATTACATGTATAATGTCTGCATGTTCACTGAAAATGTCTGAATTTGAAATCTGTGTCTTCTGTTTCCAGTGACTAACTCCATCATAATTAGGGTACTATCTTTCCAGAATATGACATTAAGAAATCATAATCAATTGTACCACAAAAGTTTATAACCACTTTCTTGGCCCACTTCATCCTGCCTACCTTGGAGTAAAATTTTTCCAGTAGATGAGATCTCTACAGATTTTTCTGAAATGACTTCACTTTAAAAATTAAATTTAGTGCATTCCCCCTCCCCCAGAAAACCCCATCTCAGATCTTATTGCCCTGTGCTATGCTTTTATTCCTATTCACTGTTCTTATATAAATTTTGGTTGGGAGCTTTGAATTTTTCAAAATATCAATATCAGTGTTCTCTTATAATTATTTTTTTACTTAAAATTATCACTCTGATTTATATCCTTGAAACACATGGTGCATACATGAATGTTATCTGTCATCTGCTTTGAAAAAAAATGTCAAAGATATTTTTTCTTTAATTATCTTACTTATTACTGAGAATTGGGGGGTCAATAAAACACTAGTGATATAAAAATATTTTACTCCCATTTCATTCACACAAGGCATTAACTAGGGGTCAAATGTTTATGACAGAAATAAGCCATATTGATACTGGTTATATTTGCCATAAATCTATCAGTTACTATATGTTTCAAATAATGTGATTGATTTCTTTTATTAATGGCTTTGCTATTAGGGGATTAAAGGAAGGAAAGGGGACAACTAAAAGGGAAAGGAAACGGGAAATTCTAATAATGATGACAGTAGTCATCATTTATCACTTGGGTTATCGAAGACTTTAAGCCAGACAATGGCATGACTTGTTTGAACACCTTTATGACATTTATTCTGGCTGCGAAATGGAGAATAGATGAGGAAGTGCAGGGCAGAGTGGCGCTAGATAAGTGGACAGAAAAGTTGGAAGGCTACTGTTGTAGTCCAGGAATAACATACTGATATTTTCAATTAGAATACAGTAGTGAAGATGGACAGAAGCAAATGTAGTTGAGATATTTGGACAATAAACTTATGGAAAGAAAAGCAAGGATGACTTGGGTTTTTGGCTTGAATAAGGAAATAGATTGTAGTGCCTTTTATTAAAAGAGTACGTCTAGGGAGAAGCATCCGTCCATGGTGAATAGAGAAGAATGGGAGGGCAGGCTATTATTTTGGCAAGGTTGCCTCTGTAAATTTAAAAATACTTGTTCTGTAAATCATTGAAAAATACTTGTTCTATAGGCCAATTATGTAAAATACCATAATTTCTGCTCTATCAACCACAAAATGTCTTTGATAATAAATATAAGAGCCAGCTCTCCAAATTCTGCTGCACCATATTCGGGTGCTTCATGAATAATTCTCATGTCTTCTACATTCTTGGTCTCTTACTCTACCAGATCCTTTTGCAGAAATCATTAATAATACTCATGTGTCTCTTTGACAATCAATACTGTGAACCCCTTTATTAATGTCCCTTTCACAGCTAAGTTCCTCAAAAGAGAACATGAAGCTTTTCATTTGAACTCTCCCATTTATTTTTAATTCTACTATGCTACTGAGTGGTGCTTTCACTCCCACTACGTTACTGAAAGTGACCTTGCTAAGATCCCCAGTTAATTCCGAATAGCAACATCTCACAGATCTTTCTGGCAAGCTCTTTCACTGGCTCCTCCTCCTCTTAATTTTTTTTTTCATATCGCTTTTTAAATTTTATTCTTTCTCCCTTCAACACTTTGCCTTGAGTAACATCAACACTCCGTTTAGTAGCTGCTGATGACCAACAAATCAATATCTCTAACCTGTATTCTAACCGGTAGGTTCACATATGCAACTGGCTACTTGGTGTCTCCACCTGGCAGCCCTGTATGCACTTCAAATAAAACATAGCTTAACACTCAGCTCCTTACCTTTATTCCCAAAATTCCCCTCCTATTCCTATTGGTGGGTAGCATCACCATTGCAACCATTAACTCAAGACAGGTGCTTTGGAATCTACTCACACTGTTGCATTTTTCACGTCCTCCAAATTCCATCACTGACCCAACATTATCAATATTACTTCCTTAAAATGTCCTGCCTCAGCTCCCCATGTCTCTATCACCACCAACCACTTCATGCCTTATTTCACATCTCAATATTACCTGAACGAGTCATTTCTTCTCTGCACAGCTGCCAAAGGTCTCTATCTAAAAACCCTTAGGTAGGTCTTCATTGCCTTAAGGAAAAAGTTCAAGGACCTGAGCAGGGCTTCTGATGATTTCCTAGATCTGGTCCCTGCCTTTCTTCCTTATTGTCATTCTTCTCTCTCACCAAACCTTTCTACATGCTTTAATAGTACATGAATAATTCTGTTGTGTCCGTCCTGATTCTACTGGAGCTCCCACACTTGAATGAATGCTTCTTGATGATCCTGGTATAAGTTCTTCTTGGTCATTTTACCCTTGTTTATACAACATTCTCACTTAGCAACTCTAATATTTCATGGAACTCATTGATTTCTTACCTCTAACCTTCACTAAACTGCTCTTGTCTTAATAAACCAATGGGCATGATTGGTGTTTAATAAGTGGTTGATGTTATTCAAGAAGGAACAAAATGAAGAATAAATGAATTACTGAATAAATGGTTTATCACAAAACCTTACTAGAAAACCTAAGACTTATAAATAATTGCAAAATGCCCATGACTTTCTAATTCAATATTAAAGTAGAGCCCACAAAAAAATTATAAACCTATATTACATAAATAGTCTACCATGAAAAGAACAAAGAGTCAGCATTGGACAAATCTATTAAGTCAA